AAATGAAAACTTATAAAAACCAATGTAATACAAACTGAAAGTTGACCATAACATTTGACATCTTAGATGTTTTTAAAACTTAGTTTCAAAGTTCTGGATTCAACTCTAGCGAGGACTAAAATGATTTCCTTTGCCAAGCTTTGCTGAGAAAACTTTGTCTGCAAATGTAATATTTGTCTGCAGATTTAAAAATTTTGTGATGTTTTAATAAAAAGGTTTTAAAGCTTAGTTTTTGATAAGAATTAAATTATTTTATTTGATCATGATGAGATTACTAATCACGTACACAAAAAATTTGAACACAGTTTATTTAGAAAAATAATAAGTTATTGTTGTTTTTTCGTGATCTGTCTCACTTTATCAGGTTCCTTATTAAGAATGAAAAATGTTTTTATTAATATTCGAAGGACACATTTAAGGATAAGTATATGGGAACTTGGCTTTTATTAGAATTATATTCTTGTTCCATAGTGGCGTATTTCAACGGGCGAGGAGAAAACAATTAACACTTGACTTATAGTTTATCGACGTTATAATTTAAATTATTAATTAACGCACCCTACAATTAACTAAACTCAATAATCAAGGTTCAATTACAAAGATCATACTCAATATTAATAGAAATCACACGACGCGGCCACGTTGCGCTATGAATGGAGTATGCTCTAGGACATATTTGGTAAAATAATCAATCATTACTGACGCGTATTCTTTTCTGTCGTTTTTGCCACTTAATGTCCCAGTTATATCTATGTGAATAGTATGCCAACGAAATGTATGCAAATCCGTCGGAGAATTTACATGGCGAAAATAGCAATGACCGCACTGAATAAAATTTGGAGAGATAGGAAAATTATTAATCGAACAAAAATGCATCTGATACGAACACTTGTCTTCTCCATATTTCTACATATGTATCTAACTAACCGATTCTATATAGTGCAGAGATGTATACTATGAAAGCCACTGACAGGCAAAGAATTGATGCCTAAGAAATGTGGCGATGTATTTTATGCATACCTTGGACGGTCCGACGTACGAACGTCACTAAAATCAAAGAACTCAAAATTCAAGATGGTCAGCGCTATAAATTTTAAAATTACCTATATATATTATGAACTATGTAAATGATATATATTTTTTAAATATAATTTATGAAAAATAATGATCTTTTTTAGGTTCGTTTTTATTCCTTATCTTTTTTTACTACAGCAAAATTATGCTTTTTTTATAAAATAATTATAAAAATGTATAAAGATGTTTTACGAAAATAAAAAACTAATCTTAAAGAAGTAAATAAAAAAATTTTTGATCCCATTACGATTAAAAGTCACTCACTTATTGAAAAATAAATTTCTTAGTTTCTTTGTAAGGAAGAAAGTGTTATGAAAGAACAACTCTGCTCAAGTTTTCAATTTACTTTGAAAATTGCATTCTAAGAACATCGAGTGCTTTAACAAATTGTATTTTACAAAGACATTTTAAATAAATAGCATTTCATTTGTTAAATTTGACGTTCTGCTCAAGTATTTATTTTATTTTTTACATTAATTTATATAATCTGCTATTAAAACAGGCTAATCCTCTTGATGCCTTTTTGTAATTAAGTATATCTTTTATAAAGTTATGAAAAGACAAAAAATAATACAATGGTTGACGTTCCTTTATAGCTTATTCCTAATGGTTCTGCAGAAAACAATTCAAAATTTTCCTTACCGTGTTCTTCTGCATAGACTCTAGAGTCTACAACAATGTTGTTCACGCTTCAAGAAACTCATTGTTATTGGTTCCGTACAATATAATAAAATAAAACAAAACTCAACTACAAACTTTTTATTCATAATTATCAAGTTTATAAATGGTTCAAACAGGTTTCAAATGCTAAACTAATATTTATTTGCTTATATAAGGCCTAGGTCATAACGTTACTGAGGTATATGATTATTATAATATTATTCAAACTCTAATCGAACGTGCCGCTACAATAAAAATAAGGTATATCTGAGAATAGATTTATTATCACCTAATGATTCCAACGTTTAAAGTTATTCTTGTGAACTATACATTCAACTACAGCAAAGATATCAATGACAATAACGAACACGGAAACATTTACTAACAACAGAGCAATCACTACTCGCAGTTTGGATTTAACAAACAATTGGAGAATCTCTTTATAATTGTTATTCTCTTTATAATTGTATCTCGCTTAGTTTTAAATACAGCATTAAATTTATGTCAACATATGTATCTACATATATTTTATTTTCTTTTATGCTTGTATACATTCAAATGCCAAAAATGATATCGATCTTTAATATGATTTTAATCTTACTTTGAGGTAAATATTGTAAATACCTTGAGTCGCACTTGGCCATCTCCATAATTATTTTTTAAGACTGACATATAAAAAAATAAAAAATATAATGACAGGGAATCACGCTTTCAAACATCGTCAAATATTCTTTATTTAAATTATTTTTGCAAATACCTGGAAGACTTTAGTTATTTATATTTAACAATAATCCAATTTTATTTCAAACATATCATTTCTACTTCAATAATAGTTATATCCTTGATATTGTCTGATAACTTTGCTGCAGCCATGTTTAATATTAGTCAAATCCTCGCTAGCATCACTATTACGTACTAATACTATCATTTATATTAAATTGTATAATTATATTTCTGCATTTTAACATTTAATCAATAAAAGCACTCTTATTTGAAATGTATCACAATGATGTAATCGTACCTTTAATTATATATTGGGCTGTATATAGTCAACTATCTGCCTCATATATATTAATAAATAAAAAAGATACATGAAAAAGCTAGAAATACATTTGTGTGTGTTATTTCAAACCAGCAAATGTTTTAATGTATGAGGAACACCATGACGTATACAATAAACTCTATTCATTTATAAATATATTCAAATAATAGTTACCGTTAGTATATGTGATGGTGTTGTGTATAACAAATTATAAAAATACTAATGGCAAAGATTTACCAATTATACAAAAAAATAATAAAGTAAAAAGCAATAAAATAATTAAACTGATACCGTGCAGATGGGACGACAAATAAAACAAAATACCACTTCGTAAGATTTTACTAAACGCACATAAACGAAAGTGCAGTAATACATTTATACCCGTTTCGTATTGGCTTCGCTACATAAAACATAATACATGCTCATGCACAAATTAAATATTTATACTCCTACTCCTACACACTGTGATTACTGTTTGACATTCACGGTCACTCGAAAATATATTGACACTACATAGTACATACCCATGAAACATAATAGGAGTATCATACAAATGTCAAAAAGTCAAATGTCACTGTCAAAAGTCAAATGTTAACATTTACACGACTGAAAAGTCTGTCAGTGAAGTCAAATTCAATAAGTTTGAAATGAAACAAACAAAATCACAACAAAGCTGCTATGCATTATCATAGAAATATTATGTGATGTGAAGTTTTTATATAATGATTAAGAGTCGGCGATATTAAGAAATATTATAAAAATAAAAAAAGTAGTTTTATTTTATAACAACATAAAAATAACAAAAACATGCTACTGCATGATTTCAATGATCTTTAAAAATAATTTATAAAAAAGAAATGTCCTTTTGATAAACATGAAAAAGGAGGCAATGTTGTTTTTAACCAAAAAATACAAGATAGAAATTGTTGTATGCATATGAGGAAAAGTTATTTATTTTACTAGTAAAAAGGTGTGAAGATATTTTTATTAGATTATAATCATTTGGCAAGTAAGTGACGCACAACATTATATTCATAGAAACTAGCGCCCGCACTTCGTACTGTAAAGATCAATCGTGTTAGTTGAGTTTTATAAAATACCTAATAAATACCAACGACGTATGTATAATAAATAAATTTATTTCAACTAACAATACGGCTAAGGATTTTATTAATCGAATTACAAAATTTCTGCTAATGTAAACGTGCGATAAAATGCTATTAGAAAATGCTAGCGACCGATAATATTTTGGTACGTCCTTAACAACTATACATGTATGTAAACTATTCAATGACGACTCGACTCCTAACCTACGGGGCTACGACCAATATGTCAGAGGGCAGTCTTTGGTACTTACCTGGTTATATATTAAAAAACTATTGATCGAAATTATTACACCAAACCACTGTTCAAATCAAAATTGTCAATAAAAATATATTTCTCAGGGCTCTCTACCTAGTGTTGCCATTCATTAACTTAACGATCTCTTCATATTGACGATACAATATGTATCGGATAGATCCATCGATTCATTTCTATAGCCTCGTGTGTTCGCTTCACATGTCACGCTAATTCTTATATAATAACATTTAACTAATAACAATCGAGGTACGACTATGGCTCATTAATATAATTCACTCTTAAAACGTACCGTTACTGAATTAATATCTTACCAAATAGTTCCTATCATAAGGTGCCATGAACATACTCGTTACCATATTAAGAACACTCTAGAACAAACTGTCATTGAGAACTAATGCACATTTGACGTAGTGTTTGCACTCCTCAGATGGAGTTGCCATTACTTGATTAGAAAACTGTATGGACTATTTAACAGCAAAGTAGAGAAAAATCTTATTTTTATACATTAAACGCCAAAATGTCGTAATAGCTAGCAGTACAAAACTCCTTTCCACTGTTTCTACTATACTTGTATCCCATGCATTTAATAAATTTTTTGACACTACATCAAGTGCATTAGTTCGAACGCTTGATCTAAACCCTACTCCTCACCTTAATTTTGATTAAAAATACTTTCAAATATTAATTAATTATAACTTCATAAACCTTAAGGTTACAAATGTCACCCCACCATATACATTCAACGCTTCAAAGAGAAGATTTAACTGTGATTATTGTGTTGTGTAAGTATTGAGACAGATTTAAATATTAAATATATTCTGCAAGCGGTTGTTGTGCAAAGTTAGTGATATCAGTAGACTTTCTATGGTAGAAGTTTTCCGTTATGATGCAGTCCATTTATCTGGGTCTTCCTAGATCGTCTCTGCTTGTATCTCTTGGCCATGTTGTATATGGGTAGTATGAGAAGTATCACACCGGAGATAGCTATGAACACTCCAGCCAGATAGAAAGATAGGTCGTAGGAATCTGTGATGTCATACACCCACCCTGGAAACAGATATGTTACATATTAATAATAAGAAACTACTAGTACTAAGTAAAGGTGTTATATTCTTAATATTTGTTATTGTATAAAGTAGGGTTCATTTTACAGTTTATGGTAGAAATTATAACTACTTTAATAGATATTGCAATTCTATGGTTATTGAATTTCATAGCACTAACTGCTCATACTTAGTATTAAAGATTGATTATTAGATAACAATGATTACTATCTCTGATATAATTCTTATTTTATTTTATACTATTTTAGTTATCAAAAACCGACCTGCAAGCGGCGGTCCCACCAGGTTCGCAACACCCTGTATAAGCAGGAGCAATCCATACGCGTTCGTGAACTTCTCCAAAGTAATTTGTTCCACGAGGATGATGCTGGTGAGGGAGTAGTTGGCCGCGATGAAGGCTCCAAAAGCCCCAGCAGCCGCTGCGACCTTCGGGTATGACCCAAGCAGCGGCATAACCAAGGTTACTGGCCCACATAACAACATACACCCTGCGTACACCACGATAGGTGACACACAACTCCAATCACCAACCCAGCCCAGTAGGATCTGATGAAGAAGAAAATATATATTAAATAACTATGTATCCATTATAATGCTTATAATATACCTGGATAGGAAATTATAGATTCTCATTCTAACATATCATCATAAAAATATGTATATAGGTAGGCACGCCAGCTATTTAGAGAGACAAATAAATAATTAATAATATATATGTAAAACTAATATTATTAGCCATTCATATAAGAACAATAAGTAGTAACAGCTCATGATTCATTGGACTCTAAATCATATCCTTTTGACATTTACTACATTAACTACTCATTGTTTTATAATCTATATTATCTTTAAAGGAAAGATCCATGTATTGATATGTTTCCGCAATGGAGCTGTAATAACATCTTCGTAGTAATTTTAATAATTATTATAATAGTGATAACAGCAGCGCGTTATATAAATCAAATAATGCGTTATCATTCATATCGTACGGGTCAAGTAATTCTGGTTATCAGATATGTGTTATCAGTGAGTCCCCCATCAGATATTCAATAATAGTTTTATTAAATATAAGTTATTATAATCAAAATGAGATTATGTACTTTTATTAAAATTTTGAGAATATATATTTCAAATAGTTTCGAGTTTTATTAATTAATTAATACCTGCTCTGTCATAGAATCATCCATAGAAGATATAAAACACTTGAATATTATTGGAAAATTGTAATTCTGATGAAAAAGTTGTTTTTTAATTAAATTGAGAGGGATCAAGTAAGAATATTTCATAAAAGGATGTGCCCTATCAGTAAAAAGAAAAATTGAACTCTAAGTAATAAAAATATCTAATTATGGTCAATAAAATAGTAGAGTTCTCACCTCACCAAACATGTTCAATATTCCTATAATAGATATCAGCATAGATGCCTGAGACTCGTTGAAGCCCATGTTCAGAGCGTTGTCAGCGATGTAAACATACGGCACGTCATACCACATATAGAGGAGGAAGTTTGATATGGCGAAGACGAGGAACTTGGGGTTCAGGAAGTGAGAGAAATCCAGCACGTCCACGGCCAGGTCCCAGAAGTCCCATAAACCAGCGTACCACTGAACCTGGAGTTGCAAAGTAAGACTATGTTAAAAGGGTGTCGAGATGTAGGACCTATTATGTTAGAGTTAGATCATATTATTTATAATAGGATAGCATAAGGAAAATCAATTACCTTCTCTTTGGCAATCGTCGTCATGGAATTCCTAAATATGTTAGGACAGGAAGACGCTCGGAGTCTATATCGATTTATATTAAGCATAGCACCTCTGTATGTAAGCGAGTGTCTGTGGACTCGCAGGTCCTTCAGGAAGGCGGGGGGTTTTTTTGTGGAACCCGCCTGTCTCCTCAACCACAGCGATAGAGCCGCTTTCTCGTGAACATTCGTACTCGTGTTGCTCTGTTCTCGAGCACTGGGAACCGAGGTTGGTGACAGTGTCCCGGGAGAAACTGTACCAGGGGACAGGATAGCCTTTGGCGGAGATTGTTCGTGTAACCGACCACTATCGCTGAAACTTCTGGAAGGCAACATCACCCCGGGATAGTTTTGCGCTAGTAACGCATACGCTCGCCCTCTGTTAGACATTAATTCGAATACTTCTAAGGAAACGCCTTCCCCTCCAGTCATAAATGTCGGCAAATCGACCAAAGAACTAAATTGAGGCACGATCGACGTCGATGCCTCTTCTATTACGGTGTCTGTCACTTTAGTGGACCCGGCGGCACTACTTTTACTATCAGAAAAACTGTCCACTGAGGATCCGAAACGTTTATTTCTCTTTCTTTCTCGCCGCCTTTTTCGTTCCCTCGCTTTCTCAGCGTTCATAGTAGTAGTCCATGGCAAATCTCGGAATAACAAGCCACAAACAGCCATATTCAGGAAAAATCCAGCGAGTATCAAAGTCGTTCCCCGCCACCCATACTCGTCTAGTAAAATATATGTTAAGGGTGCGAATATAAAAGTTCCGATACCGCTCCCGCAAACCGATATACCGGTCGCCAGAGAACGTTTCTTCTCAAAGTAGTAGGCCACTATGACCACAGCGGCTACGTAACACAAACTCAATCCAAATCCGGCCATAATACCAAAGGTCAGGAACAACGTCTCCATATTATCGACGAATGCCGAAATGACGAATCCCAGAAACGCCAATATCGAGCCAAAAATTGTCATCCGTCGACAGCCATATCTGTCCGTCAAGAAACTAGCAATGGGTCCGGACAGCAGCGGCATCGCCATAAAGATGCCGGCGATCCAAGCGGTCTTTCCTTTACCCTCGCCGAAGTACTCCAGGAAGTGCGGAAAGAACACACCAAAACTGAACGTAATACCATCGGCGATGAGGTTGACCATGAAGGAGGCGAACACGACGACCCAGCCCCAGCCGCCGTCGGGAGGACGGGCTTCCGCGATCGACAGCTCCTCATCGTCGGAGCTAGAGCTCGAGCTGGAGGGGGGCGGGAATTGAACGTGGCGGGCGGGCGCACTCTCCGGGATGGCGGGCTCTACGGTCCCGGGCGACGTCGTGGGCTCGGCTCCGACTCCTCCGCTGCGGAGGGGCGCGCGCTCCGGCGACGACGGCCGCGCGAGGTCCATGTGCTCAACGCGCGACGGAACTTCGCGCGCGAGTGCAGCGCGGGCTCAACCGTGCGCCGGGCTTCCATGCGTGTAAAGCACCGCCGTCGTGACCTCATGCTGTACAACAAAAGATTGACTATACATTATGTATTCGTAATTAGCTTAACTACATATAATGATGGAGTTACATACATATTATATCATGCTTTAATTCATAGTTTTTTTTATTTTTAATGGGTTATCGTATTTTTGGATGGTAACCAAAGCTGATTATATGTTCCAAAAATAAAAATATACTTCATAAGATTGTCATACTAATAATAACTGATTTTAATCAAATTTTGATTACCACAATTATCAGTCCTTTTAATAACTAGGTGTGGGTATATTGGAAGTAATTACATCACCAAGTGTAAAGTAATTTTTGGACCATTTAACTTATAATGTTATGGACTATGGAGTAATTGGGAACCTTTGAAAACCACTCGTCAGAGGATGTATGCTAAACTATCTTAACTGCTTCTATTGGCATACAAAGATGAGAGGTCAGCCTTATGACGGTCCCCGTATTGTATATGAATGGCAACATCGTTTAAAAGGCATTCGTCAATGAAAATAAAAATATCTACGTATACATCATGATGTATGCAGTTATGAAACAATTATCATTTAAATTTTTTAAACTCAAACCTTTCAATGAAATCTATCATAACTATTTTTATATCTCTATTTTTTACAAAGAAAAATGTTTACTTTTTTTAAATCTTTACCCTAATAAAACAAAAAAAGCTTGAATGAAATTAATTAACCGCATCTGCAGCCCCTGGACAACTTGTTTTACTTAACATATTAACCAATCGCGGTTGCATTACCGATATTGATATTAACCCATCTCCATTAACGATATCACAGCTATTAGCTAAACTAAAAGTAGTTCTACGGTAAATTTAACTAAGTAATGGAAGCCGGTATTCCCACGAGAACAATGTAGGACGCACAGTCTCATGGGAAATTAAAGGAAATTTAAGAACGCGATGTTTTTAATCGTATACTTTAATATAACAGATATTTAATGTATTAACTTATATGTTACATTCACCCATTATTTTAATAACAATTATGATTGGCTTCGTGTTGTTACGTGTATCATTCTTAAGAAATATTAATAGATCTTACAATGTTTATTGCTTATTAAAACATGTTTTCGAGTAAAATATTAAGAAATATGTTATTAATTTCATGGGTAAAATTCTGTCGGAAGAGATCTATAGTTACTATCGCAGTAAAACAGAAGTACTGACAAAATTGCGGTGGAATTATTTAATAAAACTTAAAATTCCATTAAAAATCTGCTGTGCTGCCTAAATAGGCACTTGGTTCTTTTCCAAAAAAAAAAAAGGAAAATTTCTTAAGTAAATTATACATAATATACGATTTTAAAAACATATAATATTTTGTAGCAGTGATCAAGTTGTTCTTTAGGTTATCTCTAATGTGATGTTTTGCAAGTAAATTAAGTTTGTGAAACAAAAAGGACCAAGCAGAGCAACAGCTAGTTTAGTTATAAACTTTTAGCAATGTTAAAAAAACACTATATTAGATTTTTCTATTTTGTAATTTACTTGAGAAAATATTAATAGACTGATTTTATTATATATATATATATATATATAGTGTATACAAGGACTCAATTGACAAAAACTCAAAAAAAAAAATATAATGTTTCAGCAACGCTTAAGATATTATTCAATATCACTGATTGAGTTAAGGAATACTTTGAGTACGTTTGATGTATAAACGACCTGAAAAGATTGTAATTTAAACATCTCAAAGGAAAATGAAGCCCAGTTATATATCACTGATAGGACTTTTATTTTTAAGAAGAGCACCTATTTTGATTTCATTCACAATATCCAAATTTGTGTACGATTGTTGTTATAACACTGGTCCGTTAAATCCGTGCTGTACCTATACCGTTAACCTTCCATCGAAGGTCGTCCCGCCCGTTATTTAGAGGGCACGCCGTATTTAAATATATTTCCGCGTCTTAGAGTTCAGATTTCGTCCATCCGATTCGCCAACCATTAAGACGTTATACATTTTTAAGAAGGTCGGAAATTCAAAAATAAAACAACCGCAATCGAACTTAATCCAGAATACTAATTATGATGAGGCAGACCCTGGCTAAAGCTGGGAAATTGCCAGGAAGCAGAAGACTAATTATCATTAGCAATGTTGTTTCACAATTTATAAAATAAGAATTAATATATTGAATTGGAACATTGCGTATGTTGAGACGTGTCGGCAACAAAGTTATTAGGAATTATTTACCAAGGAAATGACGAAGACGTTATTTTTAATCTTTGACTTTAAACAAATTGAGAAAAAAAAACATAGGTCTTATATAAACCAAACTTAATATAAAAGAAATCCAGAACTAATGTGGACCAATTAGGACTGATATAGAGGAGAATTACATTCACGAAATCTAAAAGATTCGTGATTGATTACGAACGTAAAACTTCAAATAAATTACATTAAAATTATATAAATTCCTTGTTTACAACATCTACAACATTGGCAATTGTGGGAATGACGCAATTAACATAATTCTGAGGCATATTTGCCAAAAATTCTGGCCAAATACGCTATTGCCATGACCAAAGGACGCTACCAGATTATCACGCAGCAGACTGGCATTGTTCCAGATACGACGTTCAACACACTGTATGATATGACTAGACGTGCCGGGAGACTATCGCTAAATAAAATATTATAAAGATAACTTTTTACTGTTCCACAGTTATGTTTAAATATTTATGCTCACGATTTATTCTCAAATATGAGAAAAGATTTTAGATTATGACATGTATGTACGAGGAATGATATTGAAATTATCAGCTACTACTGTTTATTAAAATATAATTTTAGTACTGTTTACACTAGACTTAGATATGAAGAGCATTGAACCTTTTTTATTTTTTTTTTTAATATAAAAAATATGATACTGACGTACTAATCTTTCAAATCTCGAAGAATATAAGTGTTACATATATATCAGTTCAAAAAACCAGGAACGTTATTCTACGGACATTCTTATCAAAGAATAATTTGAAAACACAAGCAAATAGATAATATATTTTTATATACAAGTCACTGTCTTTATAATATTTCAATAAACTTAGTCAACTCTGATAAATAATCACGGAAGCTGATTGAGATAAAGAGGAACATGCGGAGCAAGTGTCACGTTGTGAAATGCTTATAAGTAACAAGAATTCGACATACCTATCATGTGACTTAGAAAATAAAACATAAGTAGAAATTTAAGGAATCATATAAAAAAAATATATTTAGAAGTCATGATTTAGTTTTTTAGATAAAAAGAAATTAAGTCCTACGGATCTATTCATTAAATCACTTTTTCACACAATATCCTTCGTGTATTTATATTTCTTAACTTCTCACCGATAGATTTAAACCAAGTAAAAGTTAATTATTTTATAATTGTATTTTAGTGATGAGATAGTTACAAAATTTACATACCCATATAAAATTACAAATTTTTCGCAATCGGTTAATAGTCCTAAAACTACTCTTGTTGCGTTCGATAAAGATGTATGTATAAGTAGAACTGAATGAATATATCCTGCTACATTTACGATATGATATGTTATGATATCATTGTATCGTAAATGTAATTTACTCCATGTGTTCGGGTCGCGTGGCTGTCATTGTTTCATTGTGCTAACGGCCCCCGAGCCGTTTATTTAATAACAATTTGTTACTATAGCTTGTTTACTCTCAAAGACCACACGCGCTCGCTCCATTAGACACTTGTCACATTTATCACCTATACTTCCTTTCAACGATTTTCCAATCATATATACCTTAGGGGCCGACAAAATAGTCTTATATCATGTGACTGGATTTGTCGAACCGATCCCTTTCACGATACATTTCTTTCCAAAAACTGTATTTTATTTAAGCGGAATCTTCAGACTATCATCCTTCGTCAACATGACAGTCACATAACGAATTTAGGATGTGACTGAAACGCTTGGATACTCGCCAAACGAAAAAAATGCCTGCAAGGAACAAATAGAGCACATTTTTGGAAATAGCACCTAGTTCTTGCTGAAATAGTTTTGGTAATAGAAAATATATCGTACTTTTAAGGAAATAGTGTACTTTTTGCCGAATCGAAGCGTTTTGGCGCAGAGCCAAGTTAGGCAGTTTGACGCAGTTTTCGCAGGCCGTTTGGGGGCATTTGGACGGTTGTTCTTTGAGAATCGTTAATGATGTTTTGGAAACGTCCATAGAAGAGAGTCAAGGTCGGAGTTTATATCGTTTTTTATATGAGTCAATAATTTGAATCACAACTAACAGCCACTGGTTATTGGGTACACAAACAACATGGAGATTATTTTACGGAACATAAAATTATATATTAAATATTTTTTATTTGGATATATTTCTTCATTTGAATTATATATTTCACTGGAATTCTTGAACATATCAATAATCACTTCGCGTAATTTACCGTGGGACTCGTCAACGAAGTCACTACACATAGTAAAGATATGAATTTAGTTTAATTCACGTTAAAAATTTAAAAATTACTTTATTTAAATTTTCTTTGTCTTTTCTAAATTATCATCAAAGTTTTGACAAAACTTGGACGGTTATTTATTAAATGCAAATAAAAATAGAAGAAAAATAATTTCTTAAATATCAATGAAACGGTTGTTCCTTTTCGTTATTAATAAGCCCAAAAGTGCTCTTAAATGTAAAATACAATATATCTTAAAAGCATGTTCCTGAAAGTAACGTATAACTGTTGTAGGTGTAATATCATAATCGGTCCGTACCGATTTCGTTCACGCCGATTTCATGTGATTCATGGACGCAATAAAAATTATCTACAATACATTGACACTTTATCGAATAATTTAATAACATAGTGTATGAGGCGATCGATATAAACGTGTTGCAGCATTCCGTCCAAACACATTATT